ATAGTGCATGCTCGTGTGGGCATTTGCAGAATCCATTCTGCTGAAAATACTTGTCAATTCTGCTATTCCAAGCTCTCGGTGCTTGTTTCAGACCATACAATGCCTTCTTCAGCTTTAACACCTTATCTTCTTGACCTTCAACGACATATCCAGGGGGTTGCTCAATATAGATATCTTCCTCGAGATATCCATTCAGAAAAGCTGACTTAACATCCATCTGATGTATCTTCCATCCATTTTGAGCAGCGAGAGATATCACCATCCTGATACTCTCCATTCTCGCCACAGGAGCAAAAACTTCATTATAGTCAATGCCTGGTCTCTGGCTATACCCTTTTGCCACCAATCTTGCTTTGTGCCTGACAACCTCTCCTTTTGCATTCTTCTTTTCTATAAATACCCACTTCACACCAATGGGCTTCTGGTTCTCAGGTAGTGATACAAGCTCCCAAGTCTTGTTCTTCTCAATTGCTCCAATTTCTTCATCCATGGCTCTTCTCCATTTTTCATCCTTCATGGCTTCTTCAACATCAACTGGTTCACTATCAATGAAATGACAGTAGAGTGTCAATTCATCACCTTCAATGGTTGTCGTTTCCTCATAAATTTCTTCAAGTCTCCTATACTTCTGTGGCCTTTCTCGGGGACTTTCACTAGATTCTCCTTCTGGGCTGGCAGGCTCTCTGTGACAAGGTGGACTTGTCACAGGTGTAGCTGTATCTGGTTCATCATCACTTTCATCCATAGTGAATGGATAAAAAGTGTAATTTTTCTTTGCTTCAGCAGTCCAATCCCATGTTGCTTCTTCATCAACTACCACGTCTCTGTTGATGATCAACTTCTCTTCCATGGGATCAAACATTTTGTAACCTTTTGAGTGTTCTGAGTATCCCAGGAATATGTACTTCTTGCTTTTTTCATCCAACTTCTTCCTTTCTTGATCCGGTACGTTCACATATCCTACACTTCCGAAAACTCGGAGGTGAGAGATTTTGGGTTTCCTTCCGCTCCATGCTTCTTGGGGTGTTTGATTCCAAACACTCTTTGTTGGTGACCTGTTCAGCAGGTAGATTGCACAATCAACAGCTTCAGCCATAGCTCCTTTGGTAGGTTCTTGCTTTTCATCATGCTTCTCGCCATGTTGAGGACAGTTCTGTTCTTCCTCTCAACAACTCCATTCTGCTGTGGGGATCTTGGGACTGTGAGAAACCTGTGAATTCCTTGATATTCACAGAACCTTCTGAACTTCTTGAGCATAAATTCTCCACCTCTATCTGATCTCATTGCTTTGATGTAGCGGCCACTTTCATTCTCCACCATCATCTTGAATTTCTTGAAAGCTTCAAATGTATCTGACTTTTGCTTCAAGAAGTAAACCCATGTCTTTCTACTGTAATCATCAATGAACAATAGGAAGTATTTGTTCTTCCCGAACGATGTTGGGGTGATCGGTCCATAGAGATCTGCATGGTCGAGCTCAAGTGGTGCTTTAGCTCGTGACAGGGACTCCTTCGGGAAACTTGCCCTGAATTGCTTTCCAACTAAGCATCCTTCACACAATTGGTCTGGATGATTAATCACTGGTAGACCATGCACCATCTTTTTCTGACCGAGCAACTTCAGGCCTCCAAAATTTAGATGGCCATACCTCAGATGCCATAGCCATGTATTGTCCTTCACACATGCTTTCAAACACTTCGCCATTTCAGTCTGAATGTTCAAGGTGAACATTCTGTTTCTCGACATTGGGACTCTGGCCAACAACTGCTTCTTCTCATTTAACAGTTCCAGTTGACGATTCACCATGTGGACTTCATAATTTTTCTCCATCAGCTGACCCAAACTCAGGATGTTACTAGTCATGTCTGGGACATAGTAGACATCACTGATAAATTGCTGTGAGCCATTCTTGAGCCGGATGAGTATAGTTCCTCTGCCTTTGATAGGAACCTTCGAGGAGTCTCCAAATACGACATTTCCTTTCACTGACTCATCCATATCCACGAACATATTTCTTTTTCCACACATGTGGTTGCTCGCTGCATTATCCAGATACCACATGTTGTCTCTCGGTTTTTCATCTCCTTGATGTGACAACATCAATGTGCCTTTGACTTCTTCTTGCACGTTATTTGCTGTTTCCTCCACTTCTTTAGGCGGACTCCAACATTCTGATGCATAATGCCCGTACTTCGAGCAATTATGGCACTGGACGTTGGATTTATCACGACCTTCATTTGATCTCCAACTTCCTCTTCCACGTCCACGACCACGACCTCTGCCTCTGGTGGACGTTTCATAATTGTTCGTGGTGAAATTTCCTCCGTCTCTGCTTTGATATACTCCTCGGGCTCTTCCTCTTCCTCTGCCTCTGTAGTTGCCTCTGCCTCGACCTCTGTTGTAACCTCCTCCTCGTGCGCCTTCTTTCTCCTCCGTGGTAGCTTTTGTAGCTAACACTTGTTCTGATGATTCTTCATTTCTTTTATTTAGTCTTTCTTCTCTAGCTTGTAATGAACCGATGACTTCATCAACCGTCATTTTTGACACGTCCTTAGCTTCCTCCATGGCCACCACCACATAGTCAAACTTTGGTAATAATGACCGTAGAATTTTCTCCACCACTTTGGTCTTTCAATTTTCTCCCCATATTGCTTCAGTTTGCTGACGACTGACTTCGCACGGGCGGTGTAATCTGAAACAGATTCACCTTCCTTCATTTTAATAGCTTCAAAATCTCCCCTTAGTGTCTGAAGTCGAACCTTCTTTACTGGTTCTACGCCTTGCATTTCCTTTTGCAGAATCTCCCATGCTTCCTTTGCTGTGGTAGCATCTGCTATTTGATCGAACATCGATTCATCAAGACATTGATGAATGAGAGTGAGTGCTTTTTGATCACTCTTTCTATTTTTTTCTCAATACCTCCTTTTCAGCAGGAGATAACCGAGAATCCTTCACGGGAATCTCGTAACCTTTTTCAACAATATCCCAAGCATCTTGGGATCCAAGCAAGGCTTTCATACGGATGCACCAATTTTTATAATTGATTTTGGTAAGGTGGGGGAATTGAATGGGGAAAGTGGATTTTTCGGCCATGGGACAATCGTGATAACAATAGCACGAGAAATTCTTTTCTGATGTGGAAGTTCAGACTACGCCTCAACCACAGAGCATACTCGGAAATAACTCGGGCTCTGATACCACTTTGTTGGAAATAAAGTAATTATTTCCTTTAATAATTGAAAAGCTAATGGTGGGATTTTGGTGGGCACGTGTTATTGTTTTGGAAAAGGAAAGTTTTTGTAGCTTTAATTTGAAGAATGGGACAAGGAACTAGGCATGGGTTTTTCTTATTGGAGAAGGAAATTGAGGCTTTTATTGCTTTTTTTTTTCTTTCTTTCTTTTGCTCTTACTCTTGAGCTGCTTCTTTGCTCTACACTTTCTGACGCATCCAACCAAGGGTATTTATAGGCCTTCAACTCCTCCTAACCGACCTCAACATGTGGTCTTTCTTTTTCTTCATTTTTTTAATCACACCTAACAACTAACCTTATTTAATTAGATTCTACACACTTCATACAGATTTTTTTCTTCACACCAGTACACACCACACACATCACTTAGCTTCTAGGATTTTCTGATATTTTGTATTATATTAATTAAACTTTATTTAATTTCAACACCGACACCCTCCGCCGTCTGCCGAAGCCGCTGCGTCACCAAATTGTGGCGGCGCATCCTTTCCAACCCCGGAATCATCAAGAAATCCATCACGTCGCCGCCGCCATACGCAGTCAGGGTCATGATTGCCCACTCTGCTTCATACACCGTCCGTTCCTCCGACATTTGGTTGAGAAGATAGGTTGGGTCTTGTTCTTCTGAATCGGCCACCGGCAGTGGGTTTCAAATTTGAAGAGAGAAGGGAAAAGGAAGAGTGTTGACGGCGGAGGTTGGCGGGGATGGCGGTGGATGATGGGGTGAGTGGAAAAGAAGCCGATGGCGTTGTTTGTGATTTTTTTTTATTTTTTAATTTATTGTAATAGTGAGGTGGAAATTATTAAAAATTAAATTTTATTATTTATTATTTTTAATTGCCACGTTACTTATTTAACGGTCAATTATAAGAGTTGACCGCCACATCAGCAAAAGTTAACGGAGACTAACGGCCAGTGACCAAACTTGAACTGTTAACCTAATCTAAGTGACTACGAATGAAATAAAGTAATTCTAGTGGTTAACGTGAATTTTGCTAGTAATTCAAGTGACCAATCTTGCAATTTAGCCAAAAAAAAATACAAACAAATGAAAATTGGCACGCGCACAAAACTAATACATAGTATTAAACTCAATATTTATAAGGAAAACTTGAAATGAATGAAAGCAAAATGTGAACACAAGATAGACAAAATCAAAATATCAAGGTTGTCAACCCGCGGGTCGACCCACGGGTTGACCCACTTTGACCCTGACCCGGTGAGAAAAACGGGCCGCACGCACCCGCCGGTTTGATCGTTACAAGGTACCGGGTTGGAGGTCAAATTGTGTCATTTTTTTCTTTGTTTTGCGAAATGCGCATATTTTCCGATTTTTCTTTTCGCCTAACTCAATCTTTAGAATCCTAAGTTAAACATTTGAATATTAATGTTATATAAGTTTGTGTGAATTTTCCCTATATGTTGAATCTAAGTACGAAATGTTATTTTGGTGTAATATTATAAGTTATAACTCATATGTTAGATGCGATTTGATATAATTTATCAGGATAAGTACAATATAATGACGCTTTCCATATTTTCGGGCTAAACCGGGCTAAAACGGGTGACCCATTGACCCTTGATCCACTAGCTCAACCGGGTCCGGGTCAACCCGCGGGTTGACAACCTTGCAAAATATCAAATGATTGGCCTCCTCCTTTCTTTCTTTCTTATTTTTCTTTTCTTTTTTTCTTCTTTTCTTGTCCCTTTCCGGGGCCAGATTTCAACGTTACGTATCGGGAAGTTCACATATCCATTTCCACAGCAGCATTAGGTAGCTGTCAATTGCATCACCAATCTTACAATAATTTTTACTCAAAAACATTAATTTACAGAAGAAGTAGATAGGAACTCCTCCACTCTCCAGCTAGCATTCTCTACTATAATGACACCCTCTTGCAGAGACGCTCTAAGGTTCATCTTCCTCTTATGGTCATTTTAGCCTTTTAGGGTAATTAGTAGGGGAGGATGAATCAGCGCCAGTGACCAATTTCGTTACAAATAAGAAAAGAAGGAAACAAAATCAGAAGCAACATCGTTAACAGCTCATCTCCTGCGTGCTGTAGGAAAGGAGGGCGAAGGGGACCCATGACGGCCAGACCTAGGAGGAGTTGACTTGGTTGGTGACCTCGCAATTTCTGTAAAGTATATATATACTTGTTTATTCAGATTCGCCTTCCAGATTCTACATCACTGTTTTTCACTCTCTACTTCATCTCCCATCAGCACGCGGAATAACTTCCAGCTTCTGGGTCTGATTCTTTGATTCTGGAGAAAGAGGCTCTGCAATATAATAAGGTAAAAGAACATAGAACACCGGAGGGAAGTTGTTATGATTCTCCGGTGCCTGGGTTTGTGATTTCCCCAAAGTTCCAAAATATGGGGCAAACCCAGTTTGTTGTCTGGTTGTGGAGAATGGGACAAAAGAAATTTCTTTCCTTTGTGCCAAAAACCAGAAGCCCTCGTGGTTTTGAGATGCTTTCTTTGTATTCCAAAGGGTGGGAAGAACTCAGTCAAAAGGAATAGAGTGAGCCTGTATTGTGTTCTTGGTTTTGAGCCGCTTTTTTGTGTTTGCATGTTTCGTTTGTTGACTTTGATGCCGTGGAATTTAATGGCTGGTTTAGTCGTCGCTTTGGCACTCTAGTGGCCGTTATCGTGATCGAATTCGACTCCCAACTTCCCCCAACAATTTGCATAAATTCCATGCTCTGTTCTCACTCCTTTGCATCTCGGCAGCCTGCAGCTTTTGTTTTTCCAGTTACCATTTCTCTTACCAATTAGATTTCTCTGAGGTTGGAAAATGAAACTGGGTTTTCTTTATTTTCTTTTTTACTATGCGATATCACTGTTTCATCATCTAACTGTGAATTCTGATGCAAGCAGGCAGGGAGTAGGCAGGCACTTTTTGATTCTGTATCTAAGGGCTAAAGCGATCACTAATGGCTGAGATGGCCACAGAAGAGGAAGAATTTCTCACCAAAGACGGAACTGTGGATTATGAAGGGAATCCTGCTGATAAGAGGAAGACAGGAACCTGGAAGGCCTGCCCCTACATCATAGGTATGCAAACCTTCTGTCTTCTTGATAGTCTGATGGGTCATGTGAAATGAACAGATTTTGTTTCTCACTAGCTCCAGATTTGATTTGATTTGATTTGATATATAGGAAATGAATGCTGCGAGAGATTGGCTTACTATGGCATGAGCTCCAACCTCGTGCTTTACTTCAAGAACAGGCTCAACCAAAGCAGCGCCACTGCTACCAAAAACAACTCAGACTGGAGTGGAACGTGCTACATCACACCCCTTCTTGGAGCATTTCTGGCCGATGCTTATCTCGGTAGATACTGGACCATTGCTGGCTTCTCAATCATCTATGTCTTTGTAAGTTCTCCCTCTCCACCAACAAAGCTTGCAGTTCATTGGCCTGTGAATGAATGATTTCTATAAACTGAACTTCAAAAAATAATTCACCAGGGTATGACGCTTCTGACAATGTCAGCATCAATGCCTGGCCTGAGACCAGCATGTACTGCAGAGGACAAGTGCCAATCCACTGATGGCCAGAGCGCGGTTTTCTTTGTAGCTCTCTACATGATAGCTCTAGGGACGGGAGGGATCAAGCCTTGTGTGTCTTCCTATGGGGCTGACCAGTTTGATGATGCCGACCCGGTTGAGAAGGAGCACAAGGCTTCTTTCTTCAACTGGTTCTACTTTTCCATCAACGTTGGTGCCTTGATTGCTAGCTCTGTGCTGGTTTGGGTCCAGGACAATGTGAGCTGGGGATGGGGTCTTGGGATTCCAGCCATAGCCATGGCGATTGCTGTTGTTAGCTTCTTTACAGGTACACGGAAGTATAGATATCAGAAACCTGGAGGCAGCCCTCTAACACGAATCTGTCAGGTGATGGTGGCCTCCTTCAGAAAGTACAGAGTTAATGTCCCCGATGACAAATCCCTTCTCTATGAGAATGCCGATTCTGAATCCAATATTGCTGGCAGCCGCAAACTTGACCATACCAAAGACTTCAGGTAAATCATTGACATCGAACTAGTTTCTAGGACTATATAGACCCTAAGTTTCCTTCCCACCTTGACCCTCTTCATGCACAAGAAATGTTTGAGTTACTGGTTTCAATTATTTAACTCTGCATTATTTAACAGTTTCCTGGACAAGGCAGCTGTGGAGACAGAGAAAGACCAGATAAAGGAGTCTACAGTCGACCCATGGAGGCTCTGCACAGTAACCCAAGTGGAGGAATTCAAAGCAATTATCCGCCTGCTCCCCATATGGGCGACTGGGATAGTGTTTGCAGCAGTGTACAGCCAAATGAGCAACCTCTTTATCCTCCAAGGAGACACAATGGACAAGCGAGTTGGCCACTCCAAGTTCAAGATCTCGGCAGCAAACGTCTCAGTGTTCGACACACTCAGCGTCATCTTCTGGGTCCCCATCTACGACAGGATCATCGTCCCGGCTGTCAGGAAATTCACAGGCCACAAAAATGGGTTCACCCAGCTCCAACGGATGGGAATCGGGCTCGTCATCTCCATCTTCGCCATGGTCTACCCGGCAATCCTGGAGCTCATAAGGCTGCGGATGGTGAGGGAGCACAACTACTATGAGCTCGACTCTGTCCCCATCTCCATATTCTGGCAGGTACCGCAGTATTTCCTGATCGGGTGTGCTGAAGTGTTCACCTTCATCGGGCAGCTGGAGTTCTTCTACGACCAGGCGCCTGATGCAATGAGGAGCTTGTGCTCGGCTCTTTCCTTGACGACTGTGGCACTGGGGAACTACCTGAGCTCCCTGCTGGTCACCATTGTTACTGGTTTGACCACCAGAGGAGGTAAGCCTGGGTGGATTCCTGATAACTTGAACTATGGGCACGTGGATTACTTCTTCTGGCTGCTGGCGGTTCTTAGCGTTGTCAACTTGGTGGCGTTTATGGTGATTGCTAACTGGTATACGTACAAGAAGCCTGTGGGTACTCTGCGCTGATGTTATTTTCTTCTTGCTTGCTTGTTTGTGAAGGAACACTGGTGTAAATAGATTTCTAAGATGGTATTTTCTTGTTTGTTGTGTTTGATAATTTCTTTCTTTCAAAAATTACATTGTCAAAGAAATAGCTAGCAGTGTAATTTGGATTGATTGATGCTCTTACATACCGTGTACCTCACGTAAACCATCGACTTGATATCAACTACACTTGGTATTTGCATAATGTGGAATGATGGAGGTTTCTTTCTTCAATAAATAGTTCGGACTCCTGAGAATACCACTGGGCAAATAGGCAAGGCTCTTGCCAGTAGTTTCAAAATATGGAGCAAACCCAGTTTTTGTCTGGTTGTGGAGAATGGGACAAAAGAAAGTGGTATTCTTTTTCTCTTCTCTTCTCTTCTTGGTGCCAAAACGGCAATTCTGTGTGGAGCAGGGAATGATGGTGAGATAGAAGAAGCCAGTTAAAAAGGATAGTGTGAGCCAGTTTTGGATTCTCTGTTTAACCGCCCTTTTTTGTTTTCTTCTGTTTCATTTGTTAATACTTTGATACAGTACTGGAAGTTAAGGGGCTGTATAGTCTTTCACCCGGCAATCTACGGCCTTCATCATGATGGAACTCGACTCACATTCCACAGAAGATAGATTCATGCTCTATTTTCCTAGTACCATTCTCTTGGATATTAGAATTCTGAGGTTGGAAAGCAAAACTGGGTTTTTTCTATTTCATCTAACAGTGAATTCTGATGCAGGCAGGCATTTTCCCCTTCTTCATCTGAGGGCTAAAGAGATCAGTGATTGCTGCAGATGGCCACAGAAGAGGAGGAATTTCTCACCAAAGATGGGACTGTGGATTATGAAGGGAATCCTGCTGATAAGAGGAAAACTGGAACCTGGAAGGCCTGCCCCTTCATCATAGGTATGCTATCCTTCTGACTTCTTGACGCTTAAACTAGAGTCTGATGGGTCATGGGAAAATAACAGATTTTGCTCCTCACTAGTGCAAAACTTAATTTGATATATACAGGAAATGAATGCTGTGAGAGATTGGCTTACTATGGCATGAGCTCCAACCTCGTGCTTTACTTCAAGAACAAGCTCAACCAAAGCAGCGCCACTGCTACCAAAAACAACTCTAACCGGGGCGGAACATGCTACATTACACCTCTCCTAGGAGCATTTCTAGCCGATGCTTATCTCGGTAGATACTGGACGATTGCTGGTTTCTCAATCATCTATGTTTTTGTAAGCTCTCCCTCTCCGCCATTTACCCGTGAATGAATGATTTTCATTAACTGAACATAATAATAAAAAAAATACTTCACCAGGGGATGACGCTTCTGACAATGTCAGCATCAATGCCTGGCCTGAGACCAGCATGTACTGCAGAGGACAAGTGCCAATCCACTGATGGCCAGAGCGCGGTTTTCTTTGTAGCTCTCTACATGATAGCTCTGGGAACGGGTGGGATCAAACCTTGTGTGTCTTCCTACGGGGCTGACCAGTTTGATGATGCTGACACGGTTGAGAAGGAGCACAAGGCTTCTTTCTTCAACTGGTTCTACTTTTCCATCAACGTAGGTGCCTTAATTGCTAGCTCTGTGCTGGTTTGGGTCCAGGACAATGTGAGCTGGGGATGGGGTCTTGGGATTCCAGCCATGGCGATGGCGATTGCTGTTGTTAGCTTCTTTTCAGGTACTCGAAAGTATAGGTATCAGAAACCTGGAGGAAGCCCTCTCACGCGTATCTGTCAGGTCATGGTGGCCTCCTTCAGAAAGTACAGAGTTAGTGTCCCCGATGACAAATCCCTCCTCTATGAGATTGCTGACTCTGAATCCAACATCTCCGGATACCGAAAACTTGACCATACCGAAGACTTCAGGTAAACCATTACCATGGTACTAGCTAATAGAACTAGAATGTTTGAGTTACTGATTTCAATTCTTCAACTTGTTAGCCAGTATCAAACGCTCTTAATTACGTATACGAAAAACAAAGAAGGAACTGAGACACACGATTTACGTGGTTTCCCCGAGATCGGGACTAGTCCACGGGAGAGATAGAACTCTCCGAGCTGATCGTATTATTAGGTTTTTTCCTTAGTTCGGCTTACAAGACTCGTGTTACATATATACAGCTTGCTAACCCTAGCTCTCCTCAAGCTTCGCCTAGGGTTAATTCCGTGCCCATAATCTGTTCATGCACGTACTCTAATTGGGCCAAGCCCAATATCACTAACAGCCTCCCCCAAATTGATGCTGGTCCCGAAGCATCAATTTGTCCGACAATGACATATGACGAGAACGATGGAAGGGCTTCGTGAATAAGTCGGCGAGCTGGTCAGCCGATGAGACATGACGAACCACAAGGAAACCTTCATGAACAAGATCGCGAACATAGTGGACGTGAACCTCGATATGCTTTGTCCGATCATGAAGGACAGGATTGACGGCAATCTGTATCGCACTGGTATTGTCAACATGAAGAGTGATTGGAGAAGGACAAGACACGCCCAAGTCAAGAAGTAACCGCTGCATCCACACAAGCTCCGAGGCTACATCCGACATGGCACGATATTCAGCTTCGGTGGAGGATTTGGAGACTTTATCTTGCTTCTTACACCGCCAGTTAACAAAGGCTCCACCAAGCTGAACACACCAACCGGTAGTCGACCGGCGAGTATCAACACATCCAGCATAGTCAGAATCCGAGTAAGCCTGTAAACGAAAATCACCAGTAGCCGGTAAAAAGAGTCCAACCTCGCGAGTACCCTGCAAATACCTGAGTATCCGATGAACTGCAGCCAGATGATCCACCCTCGGATCCGACATAAACTGACTCACCACATGAACTGCGAACGATATGTCGGGCCTAGTATGAGTAAGATAAATCAAGCTACCAACCAGATGACGATACTGGGACGGATTCACTAGTGGGACACCGGACTCGCGAGCAAGATGGAGATTAACCTCCATGGGGGTGGTAACTGGAATACAATCACCGAACTGAGCAGACGAGAGTAAATCGGCAATGTACTTCCGCTGACTGAGAAGAATACCACGAGATGATCTAGTAATTTCCAAACCGAGAAAATAAGACAAAGAACCCAACTCCTTCAGTGTAAACGAAGCATGGAGACCTTCCTTCAGGTGAGTAATCCCGGACGCATCATCCCCAGTGATGATCATGTCGTCCACGTATAAAAGAAGAGCAATAATACCTGCCGAAGAAGACCTCAAGAACAGAGACGGATCATTGGTACTTTGCTTAAACCCAAGAGCAAGAACAGTAGACTGAAATTTCTCAAACCAAGCACGGGGTGCTTGTTTGAGCCCATATAAAGAACGCCGCAGTCGACAAACCTGATCGTCGCGGCCAACAGTATACCCAGGGGGCCTCTTCATGTAGACAACTTCCTTCAAATCGCCATGTAGAAACGCATTTTTAACGTCTAACTGAAATAACGGCCACCCACGAACAGCTGCAACAGCAAGAAGGGTGCGGACTGTTTGCATTTTAGCAACCGGCGCGAACGTCTCGTCATAATCAAGTCCATATTCTTGACCAAACCCCTGTACCACAAGTCGAGCCCGAAACCGTTCAAGAGTCCCATCTGCCTTGACCTTCACAGCATAGACCCACCTATTGCCGAGAATGGTGACCGGTTCTGGAGGGCGATCAACAACTTCCCACGTACCAGTGGCATGTAGAGCATCAAATTCCGTCTGCATGGCTGCATTCCAGTTGGGGTCGAGCATGGCCTGCTTATACGAAGTGGGAATTGTGAAAGCATCAACATGATATGAAACAAAATCATGATACCGAATGGGCAGCTGCCCCTTGGTAGCTCGAAGGGACCGCCGAGGAGCTGGCGGCGTCGATGGCGGAGAATCAGAATCATCCGCGGCAGATGAGGAACTGCTGGAAGTCGACGAAGACGACGACGCGGGAGAGCTATCACTGGACACCGTCGGGGCAGGCGAGTCGGGGGGGAGGGAGAGGATATCATCAACCTCATCATCATCGTCGAACATGGGTAGCCGGGTCACCTCAGACACGAATATAGAGGTATCAGGAGGACTAGAGTAGAACATAAGCCTCTCAAAGAAAACGACATCACAAGAGATACGAAGACGTTGAACCGAGGGATCGTAACAAAGATACCCTTTATGGATGTCACTATAGCCAAGAAATACACAGCGAGAAGTTTTGGAGGACAACTTAGACCGATCTTTTCTAGGAAGAAGAACGAAACAAGTGCAGCCGAATACTCGAAGACGAGAGTAATCGGGATGCGTTTTGAACAATGCATAGTGAGGACTAAGTTGACCCAGAACAGGAGTAATTTGGTAGTTTATGAGTCGAACAGCAGTGGCTACAGCTTCAGGCCAAAATCTAGCGGGAACATGAGAGGCTAATAACATGGCTCTAGTCAACTCTACAACATGACGATTCTTACGCTCTACAAGACCGTTTTGTTGGGAGACACCGGGACAAGATTTCTGAGTTAATATACCCTGAGAGCGGAACAGACGATCTAAAGGATGAGAACTGAACTCCCCACCCGGATCAGAGCGAACTATACGAACGGTTTGACCAAATTGAGTCTGAATCATTTTTAAAAAATCAGTGGCAACAGAATAAAGATCGGACTTGAGTCTAAGAAAATACACCCAAGTAAAACGAGTGGCATGATCAACGAATAACGCGAAATACTTGTAACCATGTCTCGAATCAGTGGGAGCTGGACCCCAAAGGTCGGTATGAACGATGTGAAAGGGTTCTGATATAACCGTAGTACTAGAGGGAAATGAACTACGAGTAGATTTTGCTTCAACACAGCTAGTACACCGAAAATCACTTGAAGAAATATCAACCTTCTTATTCCCAAAGAGTTGTTGTTTAAACATGGTTACAAGCCGACTCGAATGAGGGTGACCAAGACGAGAATGCCACAAATCAAACTCATTATTGTTCAAACTAGAAAAGACAGGAGACGAACTAGACTCGAGACTAGAAGAAAGATGACCCGATGAAGGTTGACCCGACAGTTCTTCAAGCTGAAAAACACGCCCATGCTTACTCCCCCTTCCGATCTGCCTCCCCGTCTTCAGATCCTGAACCACACAACCAGAGGCATCGAACACAACACGACAATTTTGCTCAGTAAGTTGCCCAACCGACACCAAATTAGGAACAAGATTCGGAACGCATAAGGTATTAGACAAATTCATGCTAGGTGTCTCAATGGGACCAACACCTTTAACCGATAACCTTTGGCCATTTGCCACCTGAACAGAACTTGTAGCAGCTGAACTTAATTCCTTAAACAATTTAGAGTGACCTGTCATATGATTGAAACAGGCTGAATCCAAAAGCCAAGGAAGAGACGTACCAGCCTTTTGAAGTGTAGCAAATGCGCTAGTAATGGCCGTGGGCAACGAACGCTGAAGGGCAGAGTTTACAAGCTGTTCGACAGCTTCAGAAGTCATGTACTGTCCTGTCGGTGGAGTTGGAACTTGGACAGCAGCAGGTTGGACAGCGTACGCACCCCCAGTAGCAGGAGAAGCAGACATATGCGAGCTGGAACCGGACTGACGAGGCTGAATGAGACGGCAATCAGTGATGATATGCCCTTTCTTTTTGCAGTACACGCAAAAGTTCTTTTGCCTACAGAACTTCTGAAGATGACCAGCTTGACGACAATGGTGACAAACAATCTCAGAGGTGCGACGGTGAAATTGAGGCCGATTCACAGCAAAGGCTTCGTCTGCACTCACCGGCGGTGTCGACCTTCGTTGTCCAGAACTCGCGGCAGTCAGTGAGTCGGCTACCGCCGCAAAGACAGCCTCCCCAGCCCCCGGCCGAAGATCCAGCTGCGCCTGCGTCCGTAGACGTGTTTCTTCTCGAACAAGAGCAGTCAAAATACCATCCAGCTTCAGATTTTCACGCTGCAATAGATTAGCGCGAACGGACTCGAACTCCGGTTTGAGACGGCTGAGAAACTGCATCAACCGAGTTCGCTGACGATCTTGAATCACCTCGGCCGAGGCGGTAGCAGAGCACAAGGCCGCGGTCAGCAAATCCTGTTCCGTCCATAATAATTGTGCCTCATTGTAATATGAAGTCACATCCATCTCTCCCTGTTCAAGACGCGCCAATGCAAAAGTAATTTCAAATTGACGCGCAGGATCAGTTGTGGTATATGTTTGGGCGAGATGTACCCAGATGTCCCTCGCCGATCGAAGCAAACGGAGACCCAAACAAATGGTTGGATCGATAGTGGCCAGCAGATAGGCCTTCACCCTTGCATCAGTCTGCGTCCACCTCGTCAGTTCTTCGGCAGTTGACGGTGGAACAGTTGGCCTTGCCGATGTACCATCCAGAAACGAAAGAAGGCCCTTGCCTTCAATGAAGATGCGAACCTGGAACTCCCATAGCGCATAGTTCTTGGAGTTCAACCGAACAGAAATCCTATCAGAATCCATAGACGATAGCTCTGATACCATGTTAGCCAGTATCAAACGCTCTTAATTACGTATACGAAAAACAAAGAAGGAACTGAGACACACGATTTACGTGGTTTCCCCGAGATCGGGACTAGTCCACGGGAGAGATAGAACTCTCCGAGCTGATCGTATTATTAGGTTTTTTCCTTAGTTCGGCTTACAAGACTCGTGTTACATATATACAGCTTGCTAACCCTAGCTCTCCTCAAGCTTCGCCTAGGGTTAATTCCGTGCCCATAATCTGTTCATGCACGTACTCTAATTGGGCCAAGCCCAATATCACTAACACAACTATGCATTTTAACAGATGTATTGACAAAGCAGCTGTGGAAACAGAGAAAGACCAGATAAAGGAGGCAGCAATGGACCCATGGAGGCTCTGCACCGTAACCCAGGTGGAGGAATTCAAGGCAATCATCCGCCTGCTCCCCATATGGGCGACTGGGATAGTGTCCGCTGCAATGTACAGCCAAATGGGCAACCTCTTTATCCTCCAAGGGGACACAATGGACAAGCGATTGGGCCACTCCAAGTTCAAGATCTCAGCAGCGAACGTCTCGGTGTTCGACACACTCAGCGTCATCTTCTGGATCCCAATCTACGACAGGATCATCGTCCCGGCTGCCAGGAAATTCACGGGCCACAAAAACGGGTTCACCCAGCTCCAACGAATGGGAATCGGGCTCGTCATCTCGACCTTCTCCATGGTCTGTCCGGCGATCCTGGAGCTCATCAGGCTGAGGATGGTGAGGAAGCACAACTATTACGACCTCGACTCGGTCCCCATCTCCATATTCTGGCAGGTCCCGCAGTATTTCCTGATGGGCTGCGCTGAGGTGTTCACCAACATTGGGCAGCTGGAGTTCTTCTACGAGCAGGCGCCTGATGCAATGCGGAGCTCGTGCTCGGCCCTTTCCTTGACGACTATAGCGCTGGGGAGTTACCTGAGCTCCCTGCTGGTCACCATTGTTACTGGTTTGACCACCAGAGGAGGGAAGCCTGGGTGGATTCCTGATAACTTGAACTATGGACACGTGGATTACTTCTTCTGGCTGCTGGCGGGTCTCAGCTTTGTCAACTTGGTGGCATTTGTGGTAATTGCTAGACGTTATACCTACAAAAAGCCGGTGGGTACATTGCGTTAGTAGCAATTCTGTTTGCTTGTTTGTGAAAAAACGAAGGTGGTACCAGAACAAGTTTTCTCAAAATTTCGATTTTTAATAGCTATTAATCCTCTTTTGCAGTCCGATTTTGACACATTGACATTTCCATGATCCATCGAATAATTGATCAAAATGATCTCATAGGTTTGAGCTAGTGAACCATGAGACTGAGAAATCATTAACTATTCAAACGATTTTGAGCTAATGAACCTATTGACACTTCTATCCTCAAGTTTTTCATTTCGATTCGAGTTATTGATCTCTTCCGTCTATTTGGTACCTGGATATATATTAACAAAGGAAAAATAAGGAATGAAAGAGAAATGACGCTAGTTCCCGACATCGATAGAAATAGAATGGAGAACATAAGAGGATTTTTATATTAGAGGGGCATAGTAGTGTTAGGTCAGAAGGGTTGAGCGTGGTTCGATGGGTATTAGTTGGTTGGTTTATGATTTTTTATTATTTGTTTTTTACATGGCATGCTGACTGTATTCAATTAACTGAATTTTTTATGGGATAAGTTCAGGTCCTTAAGTGATTTTTATTTGGCTGAAAGTATAATAGGTAGTTAATATTTGGTTAGTATTGACCGAGTAGTTATGGATAATTAGGGCATTAAAGTATTTTTAAAATTAATTAATGGAGAGAAGCCGGATTTTAAGGAATTCATTATGTTATGGTTTTTCAAAAAAAATTAATACTTTCATTCTGAATTAATGTTTACTAACCATAATATTCAGTAGTATTAAAGAGATGCAATTTTTTTAATGATGTCTTATTTTTGAAAAGCTTTGTGACATTTTTTAATATTGTAGTAAGACATTATTATTACATTAAGAGTGTAGTATTATTATGATCATTACAATAATTATATTAAGAGTATAGTATGATTACCCACCACCATTTTATGGTTGTTAAAGGTTTACAGTGGTGTTATTGCATTGTTGTAGCGATTATTAACCTTTCATAGTTGATTGTTTTTTTTTTAAGACAAGGGAGGCCGAAGCCAAGAATAAGAGGGATTACAGAGGGAGACTAGATAGTAGAGGAGGAGGTCGCCACAACCCGGCGCTCAAAGGTAACACCCATCACATCATCTTGCAGCAGCGGGATAACCCCTATAGGTGGGTCAGTTAACTCATGCATACCGTAGGGATAGACGAGACTGTGCTTCGAGAGCCAGTCCGCGACTCTATTCCCTTCGCGATAAGTATGAGTCAAGCTAACCAACCAGTCTTGCCCGATTTTCCTGCGAATAAGGTTCAAAAGGGTCGCATAAGGATGAATGGGATCATGACGTTCCTGAATCAGCTGAATCGCAAGCTGAGAATCCGAAGCTAACTTCACCACCCGGTGACCGAGATTCCAAGTGAGCTCTAACCCATAGTATATGGCCCATAGTTCCGCCAGAACGGCAGTTGCCGTGCCAATTCCTGCCACAAAACCTCCCAACCAGTTTCCAAGTGGGCCTCGCACCACTCCGCCGGCACCGGCTGGCCCCGGGTTTCCATTAGAAGCCCCGTCCGTGTTCACCATAACCCAACCTTCCGCAGGAGGCGCCCAACCGATGTCCGCCATAAACCGCTCCGTCACCTGTTTCTTGGGATTGGAGAATGGATCTGGGGCATGCCAGGAATCGTTCCATAGCTTGCTCTTAACCATAATGGAGTGCCAGAGTGAGGGTGCTGTCATTGCTGCACTAGCCCCCTTGAACGCCATAGTGGTGCGATTTTTCCATAATAACCAGCAAGCCATACTAAAGAACCCCAGCCAACTAATACCTGAGCTCGCTGCCTCCTTGCTCGAGAGATTACCGCGAAACCAGGCCTCGTGAGTGGCGCTGAAAAACTCATGCTGCTTCTGCTGCGACACAGTTCTGGACCAGAAAAAAAGCGCTGGGGCGCAATCCCTCAGAATATGAATCACCGTCTCAGGCTGCCCTGTGCATCGCATACACAAAGGTGAATCTGCTGATTTCCTCTGAGCACGGAGAACATTTGTTGCTATCTTGCCCTGAATGGCCAACCAGATAAAGCACCTAATCCTCTCCGGCACTGGCAAACTCCAGATCACCTTCCAAATCTCATCTCTCGGCTGCATGTCAGGAGCCGACAGTAACTCATAGGCTGACTTAGTAGAGAACTTCCCATCTGCTGTCGCCGACCAGAATAAAGTATCCTCCTCTTGGGTGAGAGTGTCGACCGCTGTACTGGTGATCTTGTTGCAGATGTCCTGAGGGAGTCGCCCGCTGAAAAGATCTGTGCGCCAGCTCCCATCCTCGCGAACTAGCTCCGCAACTGTCGCTTGCTCCCAAGCCTCTGGAATCTCACCGGTCACTACCTCTTTCAGGGGGACCTGCAAAATCCACGGATCAAGCCAAAATTTAGTCTTTTTTCCATTTTTAATATTCCACGCGCAACCTTTCTTAAGGAGCTCGGCAGTTTTGGAAAAACTGCTCCAGGTGAAGGAACTTCCTGAACTTTCCGCAAGATGTCGAGGCCCCCTCTATTTCCCCCATATTTGGAGCGAAGCAGTTGCTGCCACAGACTCTCTTCATTTCGCATCAAGCTCCATCCTGACTTAGCCAGCATGGCCAGATTTGCCTGTCGAGTAGGTCGAAGGCCCACGCCTCCTGTAGCCTTAGGTCTCGTCATGTTCTCCCAGGCCACCAGGTGAAATTTCGGGCGATTCTCCTCCTCACCCCATATGAAATCCCTGCTGATTTTATCAATGTTCCTGCACACACCGCTTGGGATCAATTCAGTATGCATAGTATAGACTGGGAGAGAGGCAATTACTGATTTCGCCACTGTTAGCCTAGCCGCAAAGGTGAGACGTTTCGCCTTCCAGGGAGCCATCTTCTTCTGAGTACGGAGAAGGAGAGACTGATATCTTCCTTTAGTGATCCTCTCCTGGATTGCCTGGATCCCGAGATATCTCCCCAGCGCTGCTTTCAGAGGAATTCCCACACATTGGCTCAGGTACTCTGCTTTGTGCCGGGTGACATTCGGGGAGACGTACAAAATGGACTTATTATAATTGACCTGTTGCCCGGAACTAAAGCAGAAGTCCGCCAGGCATTTCTTGATCACCCGGATTTGTCTACGCTCAGCTTCTGCAAACAGGACGAGATCATCTGCAAAAAAAAGATGGGTAAGAGGTGGACTGGAACTGGTAAGCCGCACAGCTTTCCACTTCCCTTCCCTAACCGCCTCATCAATTTTATGAGAAAGACGCTCCATACATAAAACAAAAAGGTAGGGAGAGAGTGGGTCTCCCTGTCTGATGCCGCGGGAAGGAGCGATCGGTTGAGAGAGTTCTCCATTCCACCTGATCCTCATCGTATTATGCTCCACACAATACATGATGCAGCTGATCCAGCTGCTCGAAAGCCCCACTTCCTTCAAAGTATCTCGCAGGAAATCCCACCTAAGCATATCATAGGCCTTCTCGAGATCAATCTTGAAGATCATGCCCCCTTTCTTACTTCTTTTCTTCCTGAATGAATGAAGGATCTCCTGGACCACTATGATATTATCCGTTGTTTGCCTTCCTGGAATAAAGCTGCTCTGCCTGGGCGAGACCAAATTCCTCATGAGCGGTTTTAGCCTGGCTGACATGGCTTTAGTGATACTCTTGAGGCAGACGTTATTCAAGGAAATAGGCCGAAGCTGAGCCACTCTCTCGGGTGAGTCTACTTTCGGAATGAGCACCAGGGTGGACTCCGTCACAGCCTCAGGCAGGGTACCTGTCTCAAAAAACGACATTGCCATATCTGTAAGAGACTTCCCCACTACCTGCCAGAACTGCTGATAGAAACCCGCATGAAAGCCATCTGGCCCGGGAGCCTGGAATGGCTTCATCTCAAAAATCGCCTTGTGGAAGTCGAGAATGCTAAAGGGCCGGAACAAAGCCGCCGTCTCGGATTGATTAAGACGAGGAAAGGACTCTTTCGGCATCCTGTCTTCGTACTGGGAGTCATCCTGCAAATAAATGTTAGTGAAATAAGTGAACACAAGCATAGCAAGGGAATGCGGCTCGGTTACCCAAGTATCTTGGTCATCCATCAGAGCCTCAATCTTGTTGAAGCGTCTCCTGATGTTAACTTGCTGGTGAAAATAACCGGTGTTCCTTTCTCCAAACTTAACCCATTGATCCCTTGACCTTTGGTACCAGATGATCTCCTCCTGTTCCAAAACTTTATCCAATTCTGCCGCAAGCTTTGTATGCAGTTTAGCCAATCCTTGTGAGAAACTATTGGCCAAACAAGTTTCCACACCCTTCAGTCTTGCCAATAACCTCCTCTTTTTATGCTTAATGTTCCCAAATACAGTATCGTTCCAAACAGCGAGTTTAGCAGCAAGAACCTGGAGAGCATTCTCAAGAGGAGCCTGTCGCAACCGCCCCTCGAAATCGGGGTATCCGTCGCGATTTCGCTCGGAGTCGCCATCGACCTTAGATGTGGTGGGTCGAACACCATTTTGGCCCGGTCTCGACCTCAGGGTCGAAACCGGGATTTGGTCTGCGAATTTTGAGATTTTGGGTTCGGGAGTACGGTTACGTGTGGGGAAGTGTATTCACGCCCCACAACGCCCCTAAATGGGTACTACTTAAATCGATAAGTTTTTAAGGGTTGGGTGTATTATTATTTGCGGCTTTATTAATGTATTTAATTTTATGATTTGATTAATTAGATAGTTATTAATGATCATACATCTATTGACGTAATTATCAAAATTAAAGAAAGAGTTTTTGGTTAGCTGGACTCGAACCTATTGGTTGCCTACGTACCCGAGTAGTCGGGATCAAAGTCCACGTAGTTCGGTAGAACTTTGATAATTTAGTTGTAATCACGTTCCACTGATCATGATTTTCGTATTATAATTTTGTTAATAATAAAAAATGCACTTAGATTATCATGAGGTTATGATGATAAATGCAAGTATTTTAGTTATTAAGAAGTATTGTGACGTATTGAAAAAACGAGATAAACTTAATCCGCAATTCTACATTTCGTATTAAGGATTTTGAAGGAATAAAATTAAGCGGAAAGGTTAACTTGACGGATGATGGGCCAGCAGGCCAACTGGTTATGCTCCCAAGCATAGTGATGTTGTTGTTGGGGACGCGGGTTCTAAGTCCGCCAGCCTCATTTTTGTTTCGTCGCTTTTTGGTTTCAGAGAAAGGGGAGGGGCAATTTCGTAGTTTCACGAAAACGCGGTGGCACGGCCAAGTAATAAACGATGAACCCTAGGGGTAGTTTAGTCCTTTGGAAAGATATATAAACAAAAACGAAACCCTAATCACTAATTCGGCCGCCGCCCTCAACCTATTTTCTCTCCATCTCGTCTCTCTCTCTCATTCCTCTCGATCCTTCCACTTCTCTCTTCCTCTTCCAGAAACAAATCAAACCTAGCCGCCTCTCTACACCTCAACTCCCTCTTCCAAAACACCGAAACCCTTCTCCCTTCGTCAACGATCACCGCCACCTTCTTTTGCCCTTCTCATCTGTAAACCCGATGAGAAACTCAAAACGAGCAAAGGTTCAACTTCTCACCCTCGTCTCTCTCTAATGGAACTCGAGAAAGAACCCTCTGAAGAGAAAAGAAGAAAAAAAAGATGATCTGGAAAGCCCTCACGTCGTCGGTAAGCAATTTCTACCCTTGCATGTCTATTTTTTTTTATCGTTTTCGATTTAATGGGTATTCTAGATTTCTAACCTTCCATTTTGATTTTTTTTGGTTCTGGGCTGGTGAAAAGGAGTCAAAGGTCACCGGCGGCGTAAATCGCCGGCGACAAAGCCGACATGTACCGCCGGCGACGAAAAGAATCGAGCTTTAAGGTTTGTTTCTTTGTTTATTCTGCGATTTCTACCGTGTTCAAATATGATTTTAGGGTTTCAAGTTTCTAATCCCTATTTTGTTTTCTTTTTATTTCCGGAAAAAAACAAACCCTAGAGCCGAGATGGGCCTCGATCTATCTTCCCCTTATTCGATCTACTCTCTTTCGTAGAAACGACGAGGATGATGAAAAGACCTGGTTAAGATTTTGTTTGCATGTCGGATTTTGTTGGATTTTAGATTCAAAATTGGGATTCTGATATTTTATTTTTGTTTTTATTTGTGAGAGGGTTTTTGTTGAGGAGAAGGTGGCTTCGGGCGGCGAGTTGCCGGCGGCGACAGGCCGACGACAACACAGGTAGGTTTTTTTTTATTTTGTTATATATTTTTTTATTTTGATTTAATATCCCTTCAATTGACTCTGACTTCTATTCTTGTATTGATGCAGGTAAAAAATTAGATCTACGTAGGCCTCCTTAGATCTACGTAGGCCTCCTATAACTCTCTTAATTTTGGATTTATGAGATATAAAACTGAAGCTGGATTACACTACAATAAGGTTGTGAGTGAGTTTGACTATATGGAATTTTGGTTTTTTTATCTGTTTGTGGATGGTTGCGGATGAATATGTGAGATTTGGTTTTCATTCCATGTATGCATGATCTGTGTTTATGTATGTACAAAAACGATGCGAGAATTGAATTATGACATATATGAACGAACTAGTAAATAACAGAGGGTAAATAGCATAATAAGTAATTAGTAATTAGATTAACATAAGAGTAGAGATAGTTATATGCTATTATGACTAATTAGTTAGTAAATTAATTGTGCTTGAAATAAGTAGATAAATGGGTCGAGAATAAAACAGAGATGAATGGAAGAGCTGATAACGACAATAATTGAATGATATTGAAAAAAGGAAGATTAGTGGAGAAGATAATAAATCAATAGTATATTATCATAATACAAACCTCTTTGGGTGGGCTTATGTTTGCCTTGAGGTCTTCTGTTTCTATTTTACAGAAAATAAAGAAGGAAAAGAAAGTGTGTTGTATTTCTCCTTCTATTTCTCAGCACTTTCCCTCTCTGAACTACTAAGAAGAAGAAAAAGAGAACTGACTGAAAGAAAAGACAGTGTTTTCCTACTATTTTCCTCTCCCCAAAAGTTGTCCCCCCAATCCACGAGAATTGGGCCTGCTTTTATAGAAAAAGGAGGCGGTGGTTCCAGGGTTCGGTCGGACCGGTTTTGGTTCGACCGGTTCGTCTGTTGGTTGGGGTCGTTGGGCTGGTTCGGATTGCTGGCCCATTTTGCCTGATCTGGTCCAAAGTGGTTTTAATGCTTGGGCTTGAAATGTGGGCTTGTCTTAATCTGGGCCTGATCTTACTTGGCTGCTTTCTTGTTGTTTGGCAGGTCCATTGCTGGCTTCAAAAAGAGAGGGAAGAAGCTTGCATTTGATTGTGATTTTCATGTAATAATTTTGATTTATAATTTTGATTGTAATTCTCAATTTTAATAAAACGTGCTTTATTATTATTGTGTTAAAAGCATAAGTTTGATTTTGCAACAAAGATGCGAAAGTCTCCTTTTTTGCACTATAATTGAATTCAAACATATTGTACGATCATCGATATTTTAGACTCGCAATGGCCAATCTAATTATCTTACGACATTTCCAGATTAAGTTAGAATTAAGTTAGAATTTTTTGTTGAGTAATTGACCTGGACAAGAATGGGGTGTCTACAGAGCCGACGAGCTCCAAGACTCTGCCACGACCGACCGAAGCCTCTCATCCGTCAACCAGGCTGCCTCGAACCTAAACGCCTTCATGGGCTGCTGACCGCTCGGTTGCGCTGCTACACTGGTCAAAATGGGGCAATGGTCCGAATGGTATCGAGGGAGGTGCAGGACCGAGGAGTAAGGAAACACCGAATTCCATCGGATGTTGTAGAGGCTCCTATCAAGTCGACTGGCTTTGTACGACTGCATGTTCTCTCCTCTGGACCAGGTGAACCTGACGCCCGAAAACCCAAGATCAACAAGCTCTGCCAGATTCATCCTTTCTGTAAACAACTGACACCTCCTCAAAGTGTTGCTAGCTGGAATCCCCGACTTTTCATCCGGTTTAGAAATTGCGTTGAAATCCCCCGTTAGCAGCCACGGCATTGTGATATTCTTACTGTGGGATATAAGCCTTTCCCAAAGTTGTCGTTGCTCTCCCTGCCTTGGGGAAGCATACACCGCTGTTAAAAGCCAACTCGGGTCGCTACCTCTACTAACTTGAAGCGAAAGATGCTGTGAACAGGCTGAGTAGAGTTGAACCGAGAAAGCCCCAACGTCCCAGAAAACCCAGATACCGCCTGACCGCCCCTCTGCTTCCACACGAATCGAGTTCGGAAACCCGATCTTATCACAGACGCCATTAGCCATATCCCCGCTAATCTGTGGCTCAAGAAGCACCACGAATCCGGCCGATGCGACTGAATCACCAATTTCAGAGCCCGCCTGAAGGCTCTGCTCCCCGCACCCCCCACATTCCACGCAAGTATTTTGATATTGGACATCATTAACAAAAAAAGACCAAAAGGGAAGGACGCCGCATCAACCTGAAACACCTACGCCGGCGGGGAAGACTCCGTGGTCTGGACCTTCGCCAAAGGTTCACAGGCCGCCTGGGTAACAGCCGCAACCTTCCCCCCTGATTCCCCTGCCGTTTTTTTTGCTGCTTTAGTCCAGGCGCTGATCTCTTGCAAAGTCAAAGTCGCCACCCGAGCTTTTGATTTTGGTTTCCTGTCCTTGATCGACGACCATATCTGCAGAGGCTTCGCTATATTAAGCTTGGTGGACGATTTATTGCTCTGGGAAATCTTCTTCTTGTTGCTTTTGGTTCGAGCTGCGAGAGAGGGAACAGCGCTGATGTTCGGTTCGGCATTCTCCTTCACAGACTCAGGGTTCTCGATGATCTGCATAACGGTGCCGTTTGGGCCTGTGATAGTTTTCGTAGAGAGTAAAGGAGGCTGCTGTCCTGTGGGCTCTTGACGGGCCGGAGTTCTGATCTCACTTTGTGGCCGATCTGGGTATTTCCTTTGTTGCAGCGAAGCTTGGGCTTGCGTTTGCTGAGCAGATGTCGAGGCCTCGTCCGCCAAGCAATTGGGCTCCGTCCTGTTTGGGTTAGATTCTGAAAAAACGGGACTTGGGCCTAGGAGTCCTTTCCCCTTCGACCCAGCATCCCTTCCATTCGCTTCAACTCCCCTCCTACCTTCAGCACCGTTCTTCTTGGTGATAACCACCTTCCTTTCATGTGTTTGACTCACCTGAGACAAGTGACCGTTGTTGATGTCTTGAATAGGAAAGGCCTGATTTCCTTCCTTCCCACCAGTTCCCTTCTTACCTTGTTTATGCCCCAGCATCTGATTTTGCGACCCACTATCCTGCTCCCCTTTCCCTTTCCGCTGACCATCCCGAGCATTACGCCTTGATTTCCTGGAAACCAGCATCCACGGTCCAAACCCCGGATTAGCATCCTCCTCGCTGACCGGCAGATCGGCCGATGAGTCTCCACCGGCGGCCACCGCAAAGTTCACCAAAACAGCAGGTTTTAGGAGCGGACACACGGCCGAGCAGTGCCCAATCTTACCACATTCGAAGCAAACCTCAGGGAGGTTCTCATACTCCACCTTTTGCCAGGCATCATCCAGCCAAATTCGGGGAACCAAGTGCTTCGATAAATCCACCTCTACTGTTAACCTGGCAAACTTCGCTCGCTGTTGGGTAAGGGTGTGGTAATCGAGCTTGATCGTCCTCCCAATTAGATTTCCAAGCGTAGTCACCACCTCTTTGTGGTAGAAGTGGATCTTCAAAGCCGGAAGCTGTACCCAGACGATCATGGTCTTCGGGAGGGGATCAGAGGCTTTGAAGCTTGGAGTCCACTATTGAACGACCAGATAGTGATCAAAGATCACCCATGGCCCATCGGTCAGAGCCCGAAAATAATCTTGTTCGTTCTCGAGCTTGACTAAGAAACAGTCGTGGTCCAGATCCTTGATTTCCATGTTTCCCGACGGTCGCCAGAGGCTTTTGAGCCGATTACAAAGAGTAACAAAACCAATCCTCAGACCAAGCAGCCGAACTACCAAAGAGCGCTGCCAAGGCGCACAAATCTTCGACTTGAATTCCGATGAAATTGCCAACGATGGTTCCCCATTTCGACTCCCTGTTACTAGATCATGTTCTCCCACCGGAGTCCACACAGCCAGTTGATTAGGAGGTGTCGATGGCGTCGGCAATCCCATTAAAGCCTTTGCGTACGTGAAAGCCTGCACTGGTTTCTCCCCGATCAGTCGGTTTTCTGCGGCCTCCATTAGTGTGACATGAGTCCCCTGTTTCGGTGTCGCATCCGCCAGAGACACCTGCACAGGCAAAACAGAAATGTCAATAGCCATATCAGATGATCCAACGGGCGGCGCCATGTTTTCCACAGCCCCAGGAGCGTCGACATGGTCGGGAGAAGCAGCAAAATCCGGTGGCCGGTCAGAAGGTAAGAGGGCTGGCGCCGGTGTCGTCGAACCGCCGTTCGCTATTGAGAGCATATTTTTTCCTTCATAGTTGATTGTTAACGTGTTTACGTTGATAAGGAATTGGCTAGGAGCCAAGCATTAATAATGTTTTTTTGTTTTTATGCTTTCCTTTTGAAAGGTTTACAACAACGTTGTTAACGTTTTTTATATAGGTATTGTTAATGACAAGCTATATGATTGCTGATGTGTGGGTATATAAGCGTATCAATATTTGAGAAAGAATTATTAATAATATATAGTACAATTAACCACCATTAGATATATCATTATCAATAATTTTGTTTGCATTTTGATGAAACACAACTTAGCTATTAATAGTTTTTATATTGTTATCAATGTTTTGAGAAGAGAATTATTACTAATATGTAGTATGATTAACCACCATCAGATATGATCATTCTCAATGATTTTATTTTTTATATATAAACATATCAATAGTTGAGAAAGAATTATTAATAATATGTAGTATGATTAACCACCATGAGATATGATCATTATCAATTGTTTTTTTTTTCTTCTTCTTTTGAAAATTATTAATAATATGTACTATGGTATTACTCATTTAGATACGCTCATTATCAATGATTTTGCTTGTATTTTCAACACCAACACAACTTAGTTATTAATGATTAAGATTGTCATTATCAATATTTCTATGTAAATATTTATAGTATGAAAACATTTTTTGTGAAATAATAGTAAAACATTGGTAAATATATTGAAATTATTAACAATAATACGTATACAAATAAGAATTAATAATACATTTCATAAATGTTAATAATACCATTGCAAATATTAATAATGATACTCCAAGTCGCTATAGAAAGGGAAAGTGTATATTTTTTATTTTAAAATTCCTTTTTTAAAAATTAAATATCAATTACGAATTTATATTTTTAATTTCCATATTAAATAATTGTCGAATTGAGGAGAGAGATGGTTTTTATTTTAATTAATAATGATAATAATTAGTAATTATATTTTATTTATGTCCTTGTAGGTAGTTAGCCAATTATTAATAATAATTATCTCTCTCCTCCTATTGGCTACAATGGTTTTAAGATCCTCCTTACAAAACGTGGTTTAAGAATAGGATCTAACCCGACTTTTGATGAAAATGGACCAACCGTGTTACATTAAAACATACAAAATTAAACTTCAGCTATCATTTTGTATAAAATGACAAGTTGTGTGACCGTTTATGATAATTACTCACAAGATGTAGGGGTGGGCACATGGGTGGTTAGTCCGCGGATTGATATCGATCCACTCGCAAATAACCTGACTCGCACGCAATGGGTGATTGATGTGAGTGGATTGCGGATTGATAAATATCTCACCCGCACTCGTGTGGGTGGTGGGTGGATTGTGGGTCACCCGTATGACCCGCATCCTATTTTTACTTGAAAAAATGTCATTTCTTACGGTATCGAATATTCATCATATATTAAAACTGCACAATAGTCTGACCATATACTTTAAAAAGTAGAGAATAAAAAATAGTTTTGACTGCTATTATTGGTTATTGTGTTGTGCAATGTTCATTAGATATTGGATATTGGTATGCAAATTATTGTTAATATCCATTAAATATTGGGATGCAAAGTATAAATTATTAATTGTATCAAAATCATAAATTATTGATACAATCTTAATAATTTGCTATAAATTTATCATAAATGTTAGTCAACTTTCTTAGTAGCTAGTTGGAGAATTGCTTTTGCGGGTTGCCCGCGACCCAACAGCACCCATCCGCCACCCACCCAACCCAACCTGAAAAAGTATGTGAGTGGATTGCGGGTCACAATTATTCCAACTCGCTATTAAACGGGTGGGTCAATTTGAGATCAAAATCCACCTAACCCGTCATTGCCCACCTCTAACAAGATGTATGAAGTCTGGGGCTTTAAAGCCCAACCAGGAAATCACAACGAATTTCTAGCTAATGGGCCCGTTACACATTATATTCCGAGCGAGTGGGCCTAGTCCGTGAATTGAGCGTCACTTGCAAAATCAGAGTAAACCCAGGATCAGTTCAAGATCTGAAAAAGTTAAAACGATCCGAGTTCTGACCTTGATCGCAGGAAGAGCAGCGCAGAGCTCTGACGACTGACAATTGTTGGACGAAGGCAGAAAGATAGATCTTCGATAATCCCGCAAATTATCCGATCCCTTCTCGCTCCAATGGTGCGAAAGCGTTACCAAGAAGCTAAGACAGGTAAAGATAACGTTATACGGCTGCTGAACTCTATTTCTCCTTCCATAACAAGCAGCTTAGTTGCCGTCCAAGTGTTCGACGAAATGCCTGACCGGTAATCCGTTTTGTTTCTGTGTTTTTGCTTATACAAATAAATCCGCATAATGATCAGGCATCGAGTATCTGAAATCGCTGAACTACAACAAGTACCTGAGCAAAGTGGGGATAGGAAGAGACGACTGGTACTTCTGGAAGCAAATAGGCAAGGCCCTGGCATGCAGCTACACCATCTTCGGCCTGGCGTGGCTCTACAACGAGACCTCTCCGCTCGGGTGGTGGACGCTGAAGCCAAGACCCAAGGAGGAAAGGGAGCTGGCTCATCTATACGAGCGCCGGGAGTTCCCTTACCCGGGAGACAGTGAAGCCATGGAAGAGTTCGTCGCAAAGGGCGGAATGATCGGCACCACCATCGGCCCCAAGGGCGTGGTCGAGACGGACAAGGACTCGTACAATTACCAGAAGGATCTGCAGAACAAGAAGTTCGACCAGGAGGCCCAGAAGCTGTGGATCAGGATGAGGAATGAAGTCATACAGGAGCTCCAAGAGAAAGGGTTCGATGTTGAGTGAACACTGTCACAATACCATCATCAAATACATCTTTCCATTTCCCTTAGAAGACCTAATACCACTGTTATTGTGTGTTGATTTTGCGCGCCATGTTCTTCTCCCTCTCTCTGTCAAAGATTGTTGTATAATATTAATCAATTTGGGTGGAATCCAAAGCGTCACTTGAGTGTTGTTGGAGCTGCCAATGCCATGGATGGATGGCTCACTAGTACATTGTTGACTTTTGCGGCTACAGAGATGAGCTAGAGAGTGAATCTGTAAGCAGCCACATGCCCTTCTGAGACTGAAAGGGTAGCCTGCTATTGCAGGGCCATGGGTCCTAGCCTAAGTCAGTCAGCCAGAGGATTTGGAGAATCCTATGCCAAAAACTCCCAAACAAGGTCATCCCAAATTCCAGTTTTGTCCACATCTTCAGAGTTGGATGCAAATAATAATGGCGAAACACAAACACAGAGACAACAGCGTGCGTTTTCCCAGATGAGTTATGGCGGGATGCGTGCGTTTTCTTTTCTTTCTATCTAGGGCTCAGTTAGTAGATGCGTTTTTTATTTTTGTCAACAAATAGAAAAGAAAACCCCAGTTGCAGTGGAGGTCAAAATGCCTCCATCCTGCACAATTTGGCGGGAGGGAAAGAAAATTATATGAGACATTGATTTGTACCGTGTCATTTGAGCCGTCTCTAGATATCGTAAGTAAATACGCAATACTTGTTTCGAAATGCTCTCATCCAAACGACCGGCAAGGTTAAGGTAGAATTCTGCAGATCCGTAATATCCATGTTCATATGAGATTTGGATCTGCACTGAAACCTCTACTTGGTGCGCAAAAGAAGGGGAGGGAAAACAGATTCAGTTTACTGTCATTGTCAAATACCAAGGACAATACATATTATAATCTTGCAGGCAGACATGATGTCTTCTACTGATACTGAGGCAAAACCATACGTCATAACTTGCCTCTGTGATTTTTCCACAGGCAAAAGCAATACATCGTTATCAAGGAACCATCCAATGGCAGGAAGCAGGAAGGACAACCCAGAGGGTAAAACCTACACTTAAATGAAGAATTCCCTGTGGGAACTGTTCATTTTACCTGCTAACAGTAACACTACCAAGTAGCTGCTTCATCCCATTCCTTACTGAAATAGCCCAACACCACACTGACAAGAACTACTACACCGTTGTGAAAACAAGGGGCAAGAAAACCCCAGAAAGAAGTGAAAAACATGTTTGGCATTCATTCAGTCATCTGAGTCCAGTTAGCGAGCAAAGTAACAAACTTTGGATTTGCTTTCTTCACGTATAAAAACAAAGACTACCAATAATACTAGATTGAGTTGAGCAACAAGCAGCTTCGTTTTTCACCTTTTTACAATACATTCCTGCCCATGGACAAGGGGTTCTTCAACCTACTCTTCCCTGATTTGCTCCGACTAATGTCATTTCGCAGCGGTGTCAAGTAGAATCTCATTAGCCCGTTATCCACATTACTGTTTGGACTCGGAGAATACCTAGCACTCTTGTTCCTGGACAGCATCAGCTGGTCTCGCCTCTGCATTGCGCCCATGCTGCTACCGTCACACGAATTCCTCGCACTAACCATACAGCTTCCCGCGGTAAGCTTCTGCTGGTTCGCCATCTTCTCCAGTGGCCCTGCAACTATCAAACCATCGACCACTAATTTCCCACTACCATTGCTGCTGCTGCTTTCTACATCTGCAGGCTTGCTGCTTTTGTGATTCCCGCCGAACATACTCAACACGTTTCGCCATTTAGGCAACTTCTTGAACTTTGATCCCTTCTTGATATCTCCACCACCACCACCGCCAGGCTGAACAACATCTTTGGGAGTAGAACCAGGGTTGCCTACTACATTGCAATCTCTAACAGAGTACCAATTCGAATCCCTCAATTCTTTCTCAGTCACCAGTAATTTAGCTCCGTGATGGAACAGATCAACGGTTTCAGGGGATACCTTTGCATTGGATATGGATTTCAACTCATCGTCTCCTAATTCCAAACCTGGCATCTTGACCGACCCGGACCGGTCAAAGCTCCTTCTCCGGCGATGAGGATCGGAGTAATAGCTCACCGTCTGAGCAGTTCCTCCGGGGCTGATGCTTCCATCTTCCTTCTTCAAATCCCCACTCGGCTCCGTCGGATTTTCGACACTGGTTTTATCATCAACAGCCAACTTCACATCGTCTTCTACGACGGAGACCAATGGTGTAAACCCTGGATATGCTCTGCCAATCAAGTACCCGTCCCAGGAAGCTCGAGGTTCGTCGAACGACCGGCGAGATTCTTCGATCGACAATCTCCCTGGGTCGAGTGAGTGTCTGGGATCGGCATCGCAAGATCTCCTCCGGCCGGCGTATTCCCCAACTTCCGTCAGCGTGTCCTTTAATTTCTTCAGTATGCCCTTGTCATTATCCGGCGCCGGGCCATCCTCACTGGTGGGCTTCTTTTCATCCTTCTTCTTCCTCTGCTTCAGCTGCCATTTCCCCAATTTCTTGCTGAAAACAGAAGCCGCTTCCCAGAAGCTCTTCCCGGAGTTAGTAACCTTCTTCTTGTCCCACTCGAGATCTATGAACTCCTTCATCGTCTTCAGCTCCCCGTCTTCCTCCTCGAAGTCGTACTCCACATCCGGCGGCACGATCTCATCCCCGCCGAAAACCCTAATTTCCCCGTCCCCATCCTCATCTCCTCGTAGCATCTCCAGCTCGGAGACGACGGCCTTGGCCTTCGCTTTGGCCTTGGCGTACGATTCGATGGTTGGACCGTCGTCGTCGTGGTGGAATAGCTCAGAGAGGCTGTTCCGGGGCCGGACCTCGCATGAGCGGCGGCGGGGCTCGGAGATTGTGGTGTTGGTGGTGGCGGAGGTGGAAGTGGTGGAGGAGGAGGCATTGGGGTTGGAGCTGCTGGAGAAGGATTTGGAGCGGCGGAGCTCGAGGGCGAGGTGGGTAATGGGGGTTTCCTGGTGGGTGTCGGGGTCGATCCCGGCGAGGCGCTCGCGGAGGCAGGCGGCGCAGAACCCGGTGACGGCCTTGGTGGGGTGGCGGTGGCAGGTGAAGTGACGGCGGCGCTGCGGCGGAGCAGGACTCATGGCTGCAGGGCGAAGGGAATGAAGCAGACGGCAAAGATCATTTGCCTAGGAAAACAGACAGAGAGAGAGAGAGTCGGAGTGGGAGTTTGAGCTGAGTCGCAGATCTGAGAGAAAGAGAAAGATGGAGAGAGAATAGGAGACCTACAGAGGAAGATGAATGATGCCGGTGGAGAGAAGTAGCTGCTTCGTACTATAGTCTATACTCTATACTACTGAGGCGCAGTTAGTGGTCAGGCATTATGGTGGGGAAGAGAAAAGAAAAGAGAAACGAAAACCCTCATAAACCGTCTTTTCTTCAACCTAAAACCCTATCACTATTCACTACTAAGCCAAATCTAACTCTAGGGAGGGAGAGATTTATGATTCGGAAGGGCATTTATCTCCATACAATTGTAAAATTAATTATGTGTATTGTTTCTACAGCCATTTTAATAATTTATGCATTTTGATTCATATTAATTTTATTATACCTCCATTAATTTAATTCATTTGCAGTTACATATATATATATATATATATATGCTAAAATTGTAACAAAAAATAGATAATTATATTGAAAAAGTCCATCGTTACCCTTTTTTAGGCTTTTTTGCTTTCATATTCAATTCCATTTGCTGCAACTTGCAACATTCCAAAAAATCATTTCGTACCATCTTGCCATTAGAACAAGTTATTTGCAAAGACAAGTTATTGTACGCCTAGACACGAAATTCATGTTCATTTAGACTCAAAATTACTATTCACCCTCCTCCCATTGGTGCGTCCTCTGCGATTGGGACCAGCCGCCTTTGCTGATTGGTTGGCTTCCTGCGCCTGGGTCCCGCCGTTGTTGCTGTGTGTGCCGCGTTGCCCTCAGCTTCACGTTCATTCTCCCTTCGCTTTCTACTTCCTTCGAGCAATCCCGCTGAGAATTATACCTTCTTATAATGATTACATCGGTCATTATGTACGTCTTTCATTGCTTTTCTCTCTTGCCGTGTATATTTGTTTTCGCTTTTCTCAATTTCGGCCAATGATGGTCGCTTTTTCCTTCTGCTCAGCCTCATGCATTTGGGCCTCGGGGAGTGCGCTCCTCTTTCCGTTTGGCCTGGTATCTGACACCCGACGCTTCGGCGCCTCAAAATTCTCTGCTTCTTTTTATACTTCCTATCCCTGGCGGTTTTTTATTTTACTCCGTGCTTATCTCTTTGCGAGGGTGTTGTTTGCTCTGCCTTACGTTTTCGCCCGTTATTGGACCAGAAACTGACATGCACCGCCCTTGAGACTGCTTCACTCATCCCTCTTTTTTATACTCTTCTGTGGCGCCGAAACTTCTTTTCTTTCGTTCTGGTCTGTTTCTAAAAAAAAAAAAAGTTCTCACCCTCTTTGGTTCTCTCTATCTCACAAAAAATGGAATTCACATTGCTTTGTAATCTCGGAGGTCCGCGCAATGCCGGGATTTCTTTACGCCTTCGTTTGCTACATGTGTGGCCGTCGAAGTCTCCGGGAGACAACATGATCTATAACTACTGTACTCTATGGACCGACGAAACGGTTAGCTTTTTTGCGCTTCTCGCTTTCTCTTCTGTGCTCTGGTTTGTTCTCATCTTTTTGTTTTGTTCACGAGTCGGGATGGCATGCTTTGAGCAGGGTATGCTGATTCAGGGCGTTTCGCCGACTTCAATGGCTGCTGGGATTCGTCGTAATCTCTCGGTTGGGATGATATATGTCATAAAGTCCTTTGCCCTGAGCAATCCGCCGTATCAGTATCGGTCGTGTTCTTTTGATTTGGCTTTGGGCCTTTCGCCTTCGACTTCTTTCCTGCCCTGTGCTCTTCCTGCTGAGAGTTTCCCGGTTGATGCTTACGAGTTTGTGGTTTTCTCCCAGTTGGGTATTCGTGCAGGTAATCATCGTTACTTGACAGGTTAGTGGGTTTGGTTTCTTAGGTTAGGTTTGCTTATATGTCTTTTGTTTGTTTACTAAGATTTAGTCTCTGTGTGCCTTTATTCGTAGATGTTGTTGGTCAGCTCCATTCGATCAGTGGGATATCGCACAAGATCACAAATAACGGCCCGCTGTCAAGCAAACGGTTATTATTGAGGATGAAAGGTATTATGCGCCTTTCATGGGTTTCTGAGTTCGGTTGCATGTGTCGTGTTTGTTCTTTTCTTTTCTTACGTGTCCCTATATTTTTCCGCAGTGGATCGAAGGTCTCGATTACCCTCTGGGATGAGTTTTCGGCGATGTTGGATCATGTTGCTCTCACTCAGGCTGACTCGATTGATGCTGTGATATTGGCATTTGGCGGCTTGCTGGTTAATAAGTTTGGGGGGGGGTATGTTGTGGTTTCCTTATTGCATGCATCTTTTCCCGATATTATGTGGGGCTCATTAGCGTGTTTTGGTTTTTCCCTCTCTTTTGTGCTTCTTTTTAGATGATTATGTCCTGTCGAGTTCGGTCGCTACTCGCATAGCAGTCAACCCTCCAGTACCTAAGGCTTATTATCTTGCATCCAGGTAAGCTAACTGCGGCTTGTGGCCTCTTTTGTGTTTCGTGTTTGTGTAATGTGTTGTGTGTTAAGAACTCTATGTTGTTGTATTCATGGCGCTTGGATCGCTACCAGGTTTGCTGAGAAACATGAGACTGTTGCATCCTTGCCAGTTGAGTTTGCTACTGCTGCTGATGCTACAACTGATGCTGATCGTCGTACCAAGACTTTGGGGTAGTTGTTGGCCTTATCTAGGACGAATTCCTCGCTGGTTTTGCTCATTTCTCTCAAAAAGTTTGCTGCTTTTGTTTTTCCCGTGTTTGCAAGTAACGTGCCTTCTTTTCTTTTGTAGGAAGAAAAGTATCGTTGTGGTGGAGTGATTGTTGATGTCGAGTCAAGCACACCTTGGTATTATATTTCATGCAAGTTATGTTCAAGAGCTGTTTCAAAGCGTCGTGATGATTCGTTTTGGTGCCCAAAGGATTGGCAGTTGGATGAGGAACAGACCCGGGTCAAGTATGATTGTATATTTGTTTTTTTAACATCTTTGTTGTCTGTTATAAGTTTTGCTGCTGATGTTCTTTATTCCTTCAGCTACAAGCTCTTGCTTACACTGAGGGACGACTCTTGTGAAGCTCGCTTTATACTGATGGGGGGGGGGGGGGGGGGGGGTGCGCGCTTGCGCTGGTCAACGTTTCTGCTGCACACCTAGCCCAAAGGTTCCCCCATCGTCCCCGTCAGCTGCCCCCACAGTTGCATCAATTGCCAGGGCAATATGTAAAGTTTGATTGTAGGTTGTCGTTGCCGGGTCCTACTGGTTTCTCTTCGGGTGAATTCCTTGTTACACAGGTTATCCCTCTTGATGATCCTACGGTGGTGGGTGATTTGCTTGAGTTTTCTTCGTCGCCTTCTCCTTCTCTGGGTGCAGTAAGTAGCGCGGGAGGCCCATCAGGTTCATCGAGGTTGGTGTTGTTTGCTATGTTTTCTGTATGACTTGCGTTGGTTTATCTATCATGATTAAAGTGAGTTATTTTTATAATCTGTTCTCAAGGGCTGCGAAGGGAAAGGAAAAGGTTTCAGATTCTATCCCCATTGAAGCTCTAGCTGTGCCATTTAACATCGCTGACCAACAAGATCTAATTGAGAGGTATTCATGGTTTTCATGAAGCTTATTTTGTTTATTTGTGATGTTGTTTAGGGATGTTGTCTGAATTGGTTATTATATGGTTTGCAGATTTCCCAGCCCTGCGACTAGGATTTTGCGGGATCCTATTCCTGCCAGTGTCGGGAGTGAGGATATTGATGCTGGGTCGCGGATTCTCGGAGATTCTCAGCTTTCAGTGATGGGTGTACAGGTGGGGTCGATCCTGCCTACTGCGACCGCGTCTTCTGCGGTCCAATCCAGTGCTCCATCTGTCCAGTCTGCTACTTCGATGGTCCCCAAGCGATCAGCCAGGATTGATGAGTCAATGAGTCCTCAAGATGTTGGTTGTGATTCATCTATGCCTGCTTCAAAGATTCTGAAGCCATCCCCCAAATCATCTCCCGGGAAGCCCTTAGGTTCAACCGCCGCCTCGCCTTCGGCATCGCTGTAAGTTTTTGTATTGTGTATTATCAGTTCTCCACTGTCTTATACATGTGTTGTTTCCGCGGTTCTAACAAGTAGGAACTCTATTTGGTTGAAGGTTGGTCTCTCCACTCGCCAGGATAAAAGTGGAGAAATTGGATGCTGCCGATGTTGCTCAAGTCTCACATGGTGGTCCCTCGCAGGCAGGTGTTAGTATGGAAAGGGATTCTTCAGTGGATAGTCAGAAGAATTCGGCGGCAAAGCGTGCTTTGTTTAAGAAGTGATCATGGGTTGAAGGTTACTCCTCGGTCTATCCATAGTATTTTCGTTGCAACTTAGTTTTTGTGCGTTCGATGTTTCTCATTTTCTATTTTGTTTGTTGCAGGAACTGTTCTATGTTTGATGATGTCCCTATAGTTGTTGCTGTTTTGTATTAGAAGGAGATGTTGATCTTTGTTTTGCAAGTTGTTCTCTTGGTTTGAACGACCGTGGTTTGCCCCTTTTGGTTTCGGATATATATTGGCTGTATCTATGTGGATGTTATGAGAGGATGTATTCCCTCTGTGCTTTTGTTTTATGTTGCACTGTATAACTTTTGCGTGGTTGCTCACTGCAATATTGCTGCCATGCTGTTTGATCTTACCGGGTGCTATATATATATATATATAATGTTAGTTCTACTTATCGTTGAATGCATAGGCAATTTCAATTTCCAGCTTCGGTGAATGCCAATTCTTAGCGTTGTCGTGTTCCAGTTCTGCTGAGCTTTCGCTGATTCTTCCTCTTAGAGTCCAACAAACCTATATTTCATTATGAAATTGCCCTCTACAAATTTAGTTACCACGACCGTCGGAGTATATTCAACATTACGTGAAAACCACCAACATAAAAACACACGTATGAACATGTATAATTATCATGTAGTTAGATAGGAATGTACTTTTTAATTTGTCAATATAGTTTATGCATTCTAATTGAGCTCACGTGTTCCAAAAAGGAAAAACGCTTATGCCAATCTGCGATGAGTATGTATGTTCTTAACATGGTGCGACCTCTTTCTACACAAAGACAAAACTAAAATGATTGCTTTTTTTCAATTTATTAATCAAGTATAAGGTTAGATATTTTGTGAGTTAGTGAGCAATATACAAATGCATGACTCACATACCCATAATAACACATTTTAATATAGGTAGATACTTATGCATAACTCAGATATCCATGATGGCACATTTTAATATTGGTTTTCATCCTCATTGGGGTTATGTTAACTTCTTCAGAAACATCTCTCATTCCACTCTCATTCTTCATCTAAGATTTGCTCATTTGTATCTTTTGTTTGCCCAACGAATTTGGATACTCATCTATACAATCATCACGTTCCTGATTGTTGAAGGTAGAGTTACTTCTCATTTATATTTGTTATCAATGAGTCTTCTGAGTATGTAAGTGCAGTTAATGTTATTCTTTTTCATCACTTCCTCATTCAATATATCCGAATCAGTTTCTATTTGTCTGGAGCCGATTAATGAACCATCTCGGCGGTAAAATGGTGTTGATCTTTTCCCATTTTGTGTCTTCGCTATGCAGCAATGCCTCCGAGAATAAGAAAATCCCAATATCACACTTTGACACGTAAGAGACCCAGAGTTGAAATTCCCAAGCAGACATCAGAGGATCTTATAACTTCTTCAGCTGTGTTTGGGGATACAGCTACCGAGATTCAGAACAACATACAGGGGTCATTGCAGAATCTTCATCAAGTTTCGCCGTCACCAGCAGGTGATGAGTTAAATATCATGGCATTTCTGTTGTCTGAAGTATAGAATGCTCATGAACATATTATGCGTTGATAATTTCCGTCCATATCGAGCGCTTATTGTTGCTTATTCTATGTTTGCTGTGCATATATCAGGTTCATCACAGCCAAGGAAATCGTGCTATCAGACCATGAAGCAATTAGGATCCAGAGATATAACTCGACCCATTTTTTATCAGGAACAGGGGAGCCCTGATGTAGAGGCTGAATGTAACGAAAACAGCGATCGAGTAACAACGACTAACCGTCGAAAAACTGATCGTTCAAGTTGGCAGCGGTCAAATGAGGTTCCATCATGTAGTAGGCATATTCCCACAGCTAGGAAGCCACTACACAATGATATTCTCAGAATTGGTCAGCCAGAATGTGTCTATAAATACCGTGGTGCTTTGTTTTGGGATATGGAAAGACTCGATCGGCGTCGAGCAACAACTGATCCAATCTATGGATTATGTTGTCAAAAAGGTCGTGTTGGTTTGCCGCTTATAGCACAACCTCCACATTTGTTGGCTGAACTTCTGCGGTTTGATGGTGGCGCTATGTCGAAGCATTTCAGGGATAACATTAGACCGTACAATGGTTCATTGTGCTTCACATCGTTTGGCGCTTCTATCGACCCTCGCTCTCTCTGGAAGGGGCCCCTATTCAATGGTTATATGTGGAGAAAATTATCATAGAATTGGTTCATTGCTGCCTCCTAATGGTGAAAAACCAAAGTTTGCTCAGCTTTATATTTTCGAACCTGAGAATGAAATTGACAACCGGTTGGCAAACTTTGCGTACCGTGATGGTCTACTTATGCCAGAATTGCTCACTTTATTGCTTCAAATGTTAGATAAGCATAATGAACTTGTCAAAACATTCAGGCGGGTTCGGCAGCAGCTGCAAGATTCTTCAACAACAAGTTTAAAGCTTTGAATTTTTGGAGCTAAGAGCAGAAACCGACAGTATGACTTGCCCAGCAGCACTGAAATCGCGGCACTTATATCGGGCGATTTTATTCCGGACAGAGAGGATCGAGATATTATTGTTGATCACATATATGAGGGTTTGAAGAGAATTACAAGTCTCAATCCAAAATTTGATGCATTACATTTCCCACTCTTATTTCCATATGGAGAGGATGGCTATCATCCACTTATCAAGTGCAGGTCAGCTTACTGTCCTCCTTCTATGCGTCGACAGTTTGTTACTCAGCGTGAGTATTATACATTTAGGCTCCAATATCGCATCAACGAAGGCCATACAATTGTTCAGGCTGGAAAAGCTCTTCAGCACTTTTGCATAGACGCTTATTCATCAATAGAGTTAAATAGGCTAGCTTTTTTGCGCTACCATCAGCCACAACTTAGAGCTGAGGTTTATCAAGGCTTGCAAGATGCAATGGCGCGAGGTGATCTTGATGGGGATAAAGTGGGTCGTGTAGTGCTCCCTGGGACTTATATAGGTAGCCCACGATATATGCAACAATTATATCACGATGCAATGGCGGTGGTCGAGTTCTATGGAAATCCAGATCTATTTATTACATTTATGTGTAATTCATTGTGGGAAGAGATAACAGAAGCTTTTCGTGACATTGTTGTCCCGAATTGTTTGGACAAACCAATGGTGGTTTCAAGGGTTTTCCACATAAAGCTGAGCATTCTCATCGACGACATTAAGAAAAACTCCTACTTTGGGAAGACAATCGCAAGTAAGAGCAGTATGATCATTTAATATAATTTGGTCAGTATAAGCAATCAATTACTTTTCAATGCACATATTTGGATATCTCCCTTTCTAACAAGTTTTGCTTTGCACCAGTAATGTATACAGTGGAGTTTCAAAAAAAAGGTTTGCCTCACATACACTTGCTGGTTTGGTTGGCTGAAGAGAATAAACTAAAGACAGCAGATGATATTGATGAAGTCATCTCAGCCGAACTTCCTGACCCCCAAGAAGATCCAGTTGGATATGAGGCTGTTTGCAAATATATGTTACATGGTCCATGTGGAAAAGCAAACACAAATGCACCGTGCATGCGAGACAATAAACGGCCCTCAAACGGAAGATGTTCGAAACAATTCCCAAAAGAGTTTAACTCAGCAACGTCATTTGACAAGTTCGGAAATGTCATCTACAGAAGATCTAACTCTGGCATAGAGGTTCAAAAGGGAAGTTCAGTCCTCGACAATCGACATGTTGTTCCATACAACAGAAATTTGTTAGTGAGGATGCAGGCTCATATCAATGTTGAGGTATGTCATAAAGGCAAACTTATTAAATATCTTTTCAAATATGTGACGAAAGGGCCGCACAGGTCATTAGTGATTGCTGAAAGTGCTAATGCACCCCAGAGCAATGCAGAAGTGCAGCCTGTGAGACACAAAGATGAAATTCAACAATTCATTGACTGCCGATCGTTGTCATCTTATGAAGCTATATGGAGGCTGAATGAATATCCAATACATGTAAGAGAACCAGCAGTAGTGCGTTTGGGAGTTCATTTGGACGGCCAACAAAAAATACCTTATAAGAAGCAGTCCAATGTTCGGAATATTTTGGGGAATCCATACGCCGGTAAGACGCACTTAACAGAATGGTTTGCGTTTAATCGAAGGGATCCCCGAGCAAGAACTCTTACATATGCAAAGACACCAAACAATTACACATGGCTACCTGACTGTAAAGAGTGGAGTCCCTGCAAAAAAGGATTTGCTATAGGCAGAATTGCATATGTTCCGCCAGGTTCTGGCGATGTTTTTTTCCTCCGAATGCTGCTCACGAAAGTTCGCGGCGCTATCAGTTATGCTCATCTGAGAACTGTCGATGGAGAACTTTGTTCAGATTTTGAAAAATCTTGTGGAAAATTGGGCCTTTTATCAGATTCTTCAGAGTGGATACGAGTGCTAAATGATATCTCATCTTCTAGCATGCCAAGGGTGATTCGAAGCACTTTCGTGTCAATGCTTATATTCTGTGAAATACCTAGCCCGATCACATTGTTCAATTCTTCTTGGAAATCTATGTCTGAAGATTATGCATATAGTTCAGTCAAGGATCTCAGGGATCAAACTATGGGGCCTAGCGACGAACGATTACATAACTGGGTTCTACATCAACTACAGGCTAGATTGAGCTCACACTCAATGACTCTTGAGGACTTTAATCTTCCACTTCCATCCTATGGTCCATATGATAATGGCGAGAACCCACTCATAAACGAGCATCTAGCTTTTGATACGGACCAGCAACATGCATTAGCCACCTCTATGTTTGATACGGCGCTTTTTGTGCTTTGTCAGCCTAGAAGGCTCTAATGTTTGTATCTTAACAGCTTAGAGAGGTGAATGTTTTGTCTTAATCATGCCTCGAATCACAAATGATCAAGAACTACATTCATCTTTGCTTTTGGCGATCAGTTCTACAAACATATCCTACGGTTAATATTATAGATGGGAAATCTGAGTTATTAGAATTGTA